TCTTCCACATTTTCAGAGCAAAATGCCAAATACATTTTGGGATGGGGGTGGGGGTGGAGTTGGTCCCGGGTTATGGGGGTTGGATGAGGGATGAGAATGAAGACGTGGGGAGCTGGGGTTGCAGCTCTTGGTTGGTGAAGGCATGCTGCTGATGGATCTAACAAACAAACAGGAAAATGTCCCCTAAATTTCAGAGGGCTTCTTTGCATGAACTTAACACCTGAGGTGAGGAAAGTTCCTCTGGTCTTAGAGGCTGAAATGGAGGCACAGTGAGGTCCCTTGGAAGGCAGAGAAGGTACCAGATGACGCAGAGCCGTCCCAGCTCCTGCTGGGACAGGACCAACTGGTGTTGGGTGGACCCAGATGTGGGAAACAGTGGGAGGGAAGGAGGAAGTGGTTCATCAGTGCTTCATACAACTTCCGAGGTGGGTGGACAATGTGATTTTCCCATCAGCCCTGAGGAATGAAGATGGGGATGGTGTGGGGGGTAGGACTAGGGACTACTCCTGTGCTTTTCTCCCCAGGACACAGTCACACATGTAGTCACCAGGACCTGTTCACAGATCATGACACCAAATAACATTTAGTCAGAGCTCACCACCCACTGTGTAAGGCTTTACTGAGAATTACCATAATGATCTGTGCGCACACACGTTATATCAGTCTCCCCACAATACATCGATGAGATAGGCACTCTGTGTTTCCATTTTTCAGGGAAGGAAACTAAAGCTCAGAGAGGTTCCTAGCTTGGCCAAGGCCACACAGCAGAGAATGGTAGAGGAAGCTGGACTAGCGGACTGAGAACTTCTCTCATAAACTGGGTGAGCACTGACTTCCTGGCCCCTCGTGAACAGGACTTGCCCCACTTTCTGCACTCCATCAGGGAGAGGAGGGAAGAGGAGAGGTGTTTGCTGGCAAGGGTGGATGGCTGAGGTTTGAACGGGGCCAGGGCTGAGCCCAGCGACTGTACAGGAAGGATGGCAGATGGTGAAGGAGTCTTGGGACTGGTGGGTCAGTTGGAGCGAATGGTTTTCTCGATCCAGGAAGTGTATTTGCAGATCTGTGTGTAGACAGCTGGGTGCTGAGCAGAGCCGCAGGGGTAGACACCCCAGGAAAGGGTGCCCTGCAAGGTCTCATCACAGACCAGAGGGCCACCGGAGTCACTCTGGGGGTAGGAGGAAGGAGAGATCAACATCACACACCAATGTGAGGGCAGCTTCCTCTTCTCTCAGACCAACTCTCTTAGAGGCCTGATTCCTCACTCTCTTCCCTGAGGTGAAGCCCCAGTCACCTCATTCTCCAGTCATTCACTCATTTGTGTGTGTGTTTAAATATATTTTGTTGATTTTAGAAAGAGAGGAAGGGGGAGGGAGAGAGAGAGAAACGTGTATGTGAGAGGGAGACATTGATCTGCTGTCTCCTGCACGCCCCCTACTGGGGATCAAGCCCACAGCCTGCGCATGTGTCCTGACCAGGAATCAAACAGGCAACGTTTAGGTGTATGGATGATGCCGGAACAACTGAGCCGCTCTGGCCAGGGCCACTCATGATTTTTTGACAGTGGGCTGCTGTAATGACCCAGTTGTCATCTATGAGGAGTCCCCCAAATAGCAGTTGGAAGCCCTGGAACAAGGTTGCAAATGTGCCTGGAAATGCCGACCCCCCAGCACCTTGGACTCACTCCTGTGCTCTGTAGTTTCCTGCAGCAGAAGGGAGAGGGTTGGATTGCCCCCCCTGGGGCAGTGTAGGAGGGGGAGGGCAGGAAAACCAATGCGGGTTCAAAGAGACACACGCCAAGTTCTCAGCCTACCTCTTCATATGTCCACACACGCGCACACATGGGGATCCTGGCCCAGCACATGCCTCCACACGGACACTCATTGTGTTGTCGGTGGAAGGGGGGTTCTTGTGACGGCGTGAGAAAATGTCCTGAGACTAGCACAGGAAGATGAATAATATTTGTTGGTGAGGAAAGAAACCCTTGCATTTCCAATTTATTTCCCTACATCCCGCCATGGAAAAGGTATAACCATGCTTTCAGCAGGTCCAGAATAAAGTCCGCTGCCCATAGTTTCTGCTCCATATAAATGAACTGTCCCATCCAGCATCCTACGTGTGAAATCTGCATGGCCACGGACCATGGAGCTGCTAAGGGCACATGACTGTGGAGAGAGAATGTGCAAATGCACAGAAGAGCACGGGTCATGGAGCAAGAAAGAGCAAGAGCGAAGGAACTGTGGGGATTTTAACCAGGAGCTTCTTCAAACTAACCAAGTAACTTTCCAAGATTCCAAGCACTTCTGATGGAGCCTAACCCCTGGCCAATACATTGTTAGACTGACAGGCAAGCACTTTCACTGTGTGCTTGTCATCCCAACTTCACTGTGCCCATCTCTCTCCTCTCCCCTCAACAATCCAGCATGGGATGAAGGAAGGGAGGGGTGTTAATCCCTTTGGAGGAACAATGCTGTGTGAAGCTGTAGCTTCCTGGTGAAGCTTCTCAGATGATCATGCTCACAAGGTGTGAATTCCCTTTGCTTTGTTTCCTTTATTAATATTAACTAACTAATTTCCATGATAATAACTGAAGCCCGTGAATCATCACAGAGAGTCCCACACCCGAGCATGCTTCCACATGCTCCCACATGTGTCCACATGCTCTACACTCCCGTGTGTATCTGCACCCCTCAGCAAGCAGCCCCACAGGCTTGATGCATCAAAGGTTTACTGGTGGAAGATCACTCCGCAACACAAGGCCAATGTAGAGCAAAACGACTTTATTGCAAACACCTGGGCGCAGGCAGGCTGAGTCCAAGAAGGGAGTCAGCCCCGAATAACAGTTGGGGTGTAGGTTATATACTCTGCTTCTAGCTTCTGGCACTCTTGCTGACGTACTCTGCATGGCCCATTGTCCCCTTTGCAGTTGGACTGGTCTGGTATCACATTCCGAATCTGTTGGGTGGTTCTGGCCTTGCAGATGATCCGGATAATCCATACTCAACAGAAGGCTGAGCAAAGGTCATGCAAGCAACACATTTTTTCCACAGTTTCTGCCATTTGCAAGTTTTTGCCTTTACCCTTTAAAACGTTATTAACACTTTCAGTGTGCTCGTGCAAATTTGCAGTGTGACCTTGCACACTCCAACCTGCTGCCAGCAGTGCCATGTCTCCACCTGCCCCTGGGAAAGACCGTCCACAGAAGCCCCCACATGTGGTTGCACACTTTACACATCCCACACCCTACCACAGGCTCACAGACACCACCGCTGCCTTCCGGCCCTCTCGCCTGCCAACAGCAAGAGCAGGAACATCCAGGTGCACACTGCAGCAGGTGGTGGGCATCCCATGCTGGGGCCTGGGGGAGGGAGAGCCCTGGGCTGAGAGAGGAGGGAGGAGCCTGAAATCCTTGTAGGATCTTGGGATTGGGGAGGGAGCAGAGCATCCAGAATGTTCTTCTGGGTCCTGCAGGAGGAAGGGGCTGGGACCCAGATTCTTAGGTCTCAGTTAGAAGGGAGCAGGGCCCCAGATTCCAGACTCTGAAGAGAGAGGGCGCTGGGGGTCTGGATATTTAGGTTTCAGGGAGGAGGAAATTAAGAACCTGGATTCCTCGTGTATCTTGGGGGAGAGGAGACTGGGGCTCAGACTCCTAGGTGTTGAAGGAGGAAGGGATGTGAGGTTAAAGTCCTGGGCCTGAAGGAGTTGAAGCCCGGGGTCCAGATGCCACCCTCGGAGAATTTACAGGGTCCAAGGTTGGGTCACCTACAAATTCGGACCCGGAATAAGAGGCCCCTGTACTTCAGCTATCTGCCTGGAAGAGGAATCTGGAGCCTTTGAACTGAGAAGCCCCGCCCCCTGCCCCGCCCCCCCCGCCCCCCCCCCCCCCCCCCCGCACCTGAACCAGCATCCCTGGGCTTGAGTGAGGACGGGCTGAGGGGCTGAAGGGACGTTCTTGAGGGAGGAGGGGCTGGATTCTCGGGGTTCAGAGGCAAGGGAGAGGACTCAGTGCTGTGACTGCTGTTTCTGAAACAGAAAGTCCTGGGGGCTCCGACATCTGAGTCTGGGAGTGGACGGGGCTGGAGACGCTGAATCCTAGGTCTGAGAGTAGGAGGAGACCTGGGACTTAGACCCCTGGGTCTGAATGAAAAGGAGGCCGGAGTCTGGACTTCTCCACAGAAGGGATGTGAGGGCTCGTGGCCCCGACTTTGGGCCTGAGGGAGGAGCGGAATTGAAGAAAGGCGAGTCTTCTTGTTCCCGACATCTGAGAGCAGATGCTCCCCGCTCGCTGTCCTCTAGGGGTTCAGATCTGGGAAGGCAGATTTGGGAGGCACGGTGACCTGGTTTCCCCTTCTCCTGGGGGCGACGGGATCAGCCTGAGCAGAACCCAGACTTGCTGCAATAGGGCTGATGGGGTCAGACTTCAGGCAGGACTGACCAAGGGCTCAAGGGAAACTTTACAATTATTATTATTGACAGTAGGACAGAAGTCTGCCATTCTCTCCGCCGCCCCCCAACCTTGGCCTTCTCTGTTGGCGGTTGCCTTTCAGTCCTCCGCCGCCTCTGGTTGCCCTTCCTCCGTCCCACAACGCAGGCAGAAAGAAGAAACGGCTCCCCACTTTTATTGCAAAATCATCCATTGGATCTGAAGATATCGAGACCCTCCCCTCAACTTCTCTCAGAAGGTCCAGAGCCAAATTCAAACCCAAAACAGGCCTGAAGTGGGGCCTCGAGGGGCGGAGCCAGGCCCTGCCTGCTTCCACGGGGGGAGGGGGGGGAGGCTATAGCGCCCCTGACGTCACCGGGCTGCATCTCTTGCAGAGGAGGCGGGGACACACGGGGTGGAGTCCAGTGGGGACGTCTCATTGGGCAAAGTTCCTAGGGGAGGGACTATTTGGTGGAGTGCATGCCTGCGGCTGAGCCACCAGGTGATGCTGTTCCCCTGGGTAGTGCCAGTTCTCGGTGAACCCACAGTCTGAGCCACTGAGGTAGAAGTGTCTCCCTGCTCCATCCCCAGGGGGTGGAGCCTAAATATCCAGAAGGCTTCTCCAGGACAGCTGAGGCCAAGGATGGAGACCACTGAGGCTGGAGCACCGTACCCTGCGCCCACCCTCCTCATGTGCTCGTCCAAGGCACCGGGCCTCAGTTTTCCTTCATCGTCTTTCTGATCCAGTGCACATAGTGGCAGACGCTGCTATAGACGGCAGGGTGCCGTGGTCCGGAGCAGGGCTCCGAACCCCCCAACACCACACCAGCCAGAGTCCCATGGCAAACCAGCGGGCCCCCAGAGTCACCCTGTGCGTGAGAGAAGAGCAGAGAAACTGTTAGACCAGTCTAATTATGACATTACACAGACCACTTCCTTCCTCCCTGGGACCCCCAGTTTCTAACTCCCCTGACACCCGGATGTCTAAGTCTCTAGTCCCTCCTCCCTCAGACCCAGGAGTAAAAGCTCATAGCCTTCACCTCTCAGCATTCTGGACCCAGCATTCTGCGTTCCTAGCACCCTCTTCCCCAGGACTTAGAGTCTGGCCCCCAGTTCCCTCCTTTTTTAGATCCAGAAATCCTGGTGCTGGTCCCATCCTCTCCCAGGACCCAGGACCCAGGACCCAGGCATGCCAGCAGGATATCCAGCCTGCTCCTCTGCCCCAGAGCAGGTCTCACCTGACAGGCACCCCGACCCCCTTCCCATAGGCCGGCACAGAGCATGTGCTTGGAGAATTGGAATAGATACGCCTCATGGCAGAGTCTAGGCTCCAGGATGCTGATGTTGGCACACTGCAGCGTGAGTGGAAACTGCACTGTTGAGGAAGGAGGTCATAAACAGTCAGCATCTGTAACCATCTCACTCAGCACACACACACACACACACACACACACACACACACACACACCATTTCTTAAAGAGAATCCATAGAACCACAGTATAAGATTCACCTAGACGGGACTTCCGGGGCGTAGATAAACAGGGTATCGTGTCCTCCCACAACCGCATCAAAATTACAACTAAACTACAGAACAACCATCATTCAAAACTGCCTGAAATCAAGCTGGACGGAAGTCCTACAACTATGGAATTAAAGAAGCAGCCACATCGAGACTGGTAGGAGGGCCGGAGGCAGACGGGTTGGTCCCACACCCATGTGTGGCAGATAAAAATTAGGGGGACACTTTGGCTGGGAAGGTCCTCCCTGAGGACAGAGGGGTCCCCGTCCCACTCAGGGTTCCAGTGCCAGGAAGAGAGTCCCCATATCTTCTGGCTGTAAAACCAGCAGGAACTGAGGCTCAGGGAGGCTGAGGTGGCTGGAGCCCCAGGCAGCTCCTCTTAAAGGACCTGCGCACGGACTTATCGGACTCTCTCCCTCTAAGCTTGGAGGGGAGGCAGCTCAAGGGGCACCAGAGACATACAGGGAAGAATTGAGCTGTTTGGCATTGGAGCGAGGGCTGGAGAGGGGGGTTTCTGTGCTGTCAGAGGCCTTTGCTCCTTTGGTGAGCCCTTCCCTGGGGCAGCAGACAGCCGCCATACCTGGGACTCCAGCAACCTGGCTCACACTGGTTGCCCAGCCCTGGTGATTCCCTGAGGCCCCGCCCCACCCAACTTTCAGGCCCACCCAAGCTGTTGCCAGTTGCTTTACCATAGGATTGGCCTGTCTTGGATCCTGCTTCAGGTTTTCCTAAATTCTTTCAAACAAGCAGCATCTGGTCTCAGCTAGCCCCATACCTCTCATTAAGTAATACACAGAAACAAACACAGAGAGGCCGCCAAAATGAGGAGACAAAGAAACAGGTCCCAAATGAAAGAACAGAACAAAATTCCAGAAAAATACCTAAGCAAAATGGAGATAAGCAACCTAACAGATGCTGAGTTCAAAATACTGCTTATAAGGATGCTCAGTGAACTTAGTGAGAACCTCAGCGAACTTAGTAAGGGTCTCAAGAGCATAAAAAAGGACCAGTCAGAAATGAAGGACGCACAGTCAGAAATGAAGGAGGCATTAACTGAAATAAAGAATAATTTACACAGATTCAATAGTAGAGTAGGCAAAACCAAGAAGCAAACCATCAATTTGGAATGTAAGAAAGCAAAAAACACCCAATCAGAACAGCAAAAAGAAAAAAGAATACAAAAAAATGAGGGTAGTGTAAGGAGCCTCTGGGACAACTTCAAGCGTGCCAATATTTGCATATTGGGGGTGCCAGAAGGAGAAGAGAGCGAACAAGAAATCAAAAACCTATTTGAAACAATAATGGCAGAAAAATTCCCTAACTTGGTGAAGGAAACAGACAGACAAGTCCAGGAAACACAAAGAGTCCCAACCAAGATGAACCCCAAGAGGCCCACACCAAGACACATCATCAACAAAATGCAAAAGGTTCAAGACAAAGAGAGAATCTTTTTTTTTTTTTTTTATCCTCACCCGAGGATATTTTCCATTTTTTTTTGTACAGATAGAGTAGGAGGGAGAGAGAGAAGAAGGGAGAGAGAAAGAGAAACATCGACGTGAAGGGACACATCGAGTGGCTGCCACCCGCACGACCAACCAGGGCCGGGGACAAACTGCAAGCGAAGTACGTGCCCTTAGCGGGAACCGAACCCGGGTCTCTCTGGACCGCAGGCCAACGCTCTAACCGCTGAGCCAAACCGGCCAGGGCCAAAGAGAGAATTTTAAAAGCAGTAAGAGAAAAGCAGTTAGTTACTTACAAGGGAGTTCCCATAAGACTGTCAGCTGATTTCTCAAAAGAAACTTTGCAGGCCAGAAGGGATTGGCAAGAAATATTCAGAGTGATGAAAAGCAAGAACCTACAACCAAGATTACTCTATCCTGCAAAGCTGTCATTTACAATCAATGGCCATATAAAGAGTTTCCCAGACAAGAAAAAGTTAAAGTTCATCACCACCAAACCATTATCATATGAAATGTTGAAGAATCTTTTTGAAGAAAAGATAAAATATATGAACAAACAAAATGGCAGTGAATACATATCTATCGACAATGGAATCCACAAACAAAATGAACAGGCAGAACAGAAACATTCTCATAGATAACAGAGAACATTTTGTTAGTTGCCAGATGGGAGGGGGTTTGAGGGAATGGGTGAAAAAGGTGAAGGGATTAAGAAGAACAAATTGGTTGCTAGACTGACAAACCTCAAAGAGAAGGGGGTTGGGGGTTGGGAAGAAATAAACCAAAGAACTTATATGCATAACCAATGGACACAGACAACAGTGTGGGAAAAGGCAGGAGGGGGGCGGGAGTGGGAGCAGGGGATCAATGGGGGGAAATGAGGAACATCTGTAATACATTCAACAATAAAGATACAAATTTTAATTAATTTATTAAATAAATAAATACCATTTTAAAAAAAAGATGAAAACAAGAGACAGTCACAAAGAGACAGAATCATAGCATGAAAGAGAAACATGTATATGAAGAGGGAGAGAGGGAGGAAGAGCGAGAAATATATGGGTGGATAGATAGATAGATCAATAGAGGATAGAGACGAAAAGGCAGAAACAGAAGGAGGAGGGATATAGACATTCAACATGAGGCTTACAAGAGCGTGTAATGAGCAAGACTGTACCCTTGTGGCTGGACACGGACCCCCAGCCTGAGATGAGGCACTGGGTGCCTGGGGAGACACAGGTGTGGCTGAAGTTGAGGGGCTGCACAGCAGGTCCCAGGCGTGCCTTCCTGGGCAGACGGATCAGCATGATGTCATTATTGTGGTCTTGGGCACTGAAGTTCTTCTTGAACCCAGGGTGGGGAAAGAAGTCTGTAACCCGAAACAGCTGCTCTGGACCCTCCCTTTTCAAGAGGTGGTGCTCTCCAAGACGGACCCACAGATACCTGCTGGAACAAGCCCCGGGTGTCAAGATGAATGTCCTCCAGGGTGTGGTGTGACTCTCCACAAGCTACATATCCTCTCTGGGCACCCATTATATGTGTGATCCAAGAGTGCTGTGTGATTTTAAGCAAGGCACACACCCTCTCTGGGCCCCTGATTCCCACTCCATTCCTTTGTCTGCCTCTGCTTTTCTAGTTCTCCCCCAAGAGCTCACCCCTTTTCTAAGTCCATGCCAACTGAGCCTCCTTCTTCCTTGCCCCACCTGGAGTCTTGCTGATGACCTGGAACCATGTACACACATGGAGGGCTCCACCTACAACACATAAACAGCCTCACCGCTGCCTCCACAGGTCTGGTGGATTCTGTGGGGAGTGGCTCTGTGTGTGCTCCAGTGTGTATGTATGTATGGAGGGTGATGGGATATGGAAAATCCCAACTTCGGGGTCATCTGTGGCCTCAGGCATGTCCTGTCTGCCATACCTGTCACCCCTCAATGCATTTCCTCGTGAGGTCTAACCTCGAGCTTTCTCACTAGGGTTCTAGTTTACTTGTTCTGTTCTGGGTCCATGCCCTGGACAGCTGGACACCTTGTGGAGGTCGACATGTCCACCTCCCAGCATCTGACCTCTCACATTAGGAACCAGGCTAATGACTGAGAACTCTGGGTTAGAGGAGTATGAGGTTATTTCTGTCTCTGTGCTTTTCTGTCACCGTGTTGTCTCTGCTCTGTATCTGGAAAATTAGCCTCTCCTCCACCCAAATTCATCCTTGCTCCTGAATTCTTTCTACCTCCATATCTCTTCTTTTCTTTTCTCCTTTTTTTTTGTCTCTGGGGCTGCAATCTGAACATTGCTCTTCTAACCGGGTGTACAGACCTTGAGCTGAAAGAGGCCTCATCATGGAGCAATGCATGATGGGAAATTCCCACATAGCATCCTGTAGCAATGCTATTAGCAAGCCCAGAGTCTAAACTCTAGTATTCTAGGACTGAGCACCCTAGAAATCCACAAATTCTAGAATTCTATTAGATTCAGGTTCTAGAATTTTATGAATCCAAGATCATAATGTTCTAGATTTCTGTAGATCAAAAAATTCTAGCGTTTTAAAAATGATCTGAATTAAATCTAAGACTTAATAAGCCTAGAATTCTGATAGTTTTGGGACAATCTGATGAGAAAATCATTCTAGAATTCTACAAATATATCATTTTGGTAATTTAAACGTCTAGGATTCAAATAGTTGGAGACTCGAGAATTGTCTGAATTAAAACTTTGGGAATTTTAGGCATCTGAAATGATAGCATTCTGGGATATTAAATCCACCAAATTCTAGGTGTTTATGAGTACGACCTTCTGGAATTTTCTTGGTTCGAGATTCTGGAATTTCACTAATCACAGTATTCTAGGACTATGTTCAACTACAGTTGATGAACCTAGCCAGAATACTCAATATAAGATTCTAAGACTCTAAGATTTCTCTATCTAGTATCATTGTTGAGCACTTGAAATGTGGTTCGTTCAAACTGAAATGTGTCGTCCTTCTAAAATACAGAATTTCAAAGGGTTACACAAAAAAGAGTAAACTACAACGTTCATAGAGATTTAAACATTGATTACAAGTTAACATAATATTTTGAGTATATAAAGTTAAATCTATTATTAAAATTAAATATTCTTGTTTATCTTTTACTTTTGCAACGTGTCGACTAGAAAACCTAAAACTTGCATAGTTAGTGTTCTATTTCATTGGCAGTGTTGCTGTGGTCTCCTAAGATTCCAGAATTCTCTGAGGCTGATGTAGCATCTCATGGATCTAAGATTTTCGGAGTCTACAATTCTGGGTTATTTTGCGTGAGAATTTAGAATTCTAAGAGTGTAAATTTCAAATCTTAGACCCTTAGAACCAGATTATTTAAAACCCAGAATTAGCCCTGGCCAGTTTGGCTCAGCGGTTAGAGCGTTGACCTGCGGTCCCGAGACACCCGGGTTCGGTTCCCGCTAAGGGCATGTACCTCGGTTGCAGTTTGTCCCCGGCCCTGGTCGGTGGTGCGGGTGGCAGCCACTCGATGTGTCCCTTTCACATCGATGTTTCTCTCTCTCTCCCTCCCACTCTACCTGAACAAAAAAATGGGAAAATGTCCTCGGGTGAGGATAAACAAAACAAAACAAACAAACAAAAAAACCACCCAGAATTAGGAAAACTGGATTCTTGGTAATTTTGAGTTGAACTTCTGGGAACAGAAACAGAGGCTCAGCGCTTCTTGCCTACAGATCCCTTCCTCCTCTACCAAAGACCCTTGCCCCCCTCACCCTTCCCTTACCCCCACCCCCTCCCCAGCGTGGTTACTCACGGCTTATGGCAGTGGGCAGCTGTGAGCAGCCAGCGGTCACCGATTAAGACCGCCCCGCATAACAAGTTGTAGGGGTTGCGCGTGTGGTAGAAGAGGCCGGCCTGCCAGGGCTGGGAGTTGGGGTGGCATTCCTGAGCCCCGATGGCTCTGGTGTCTGCCCAGCTGCTCCCTGGGGGCAGGTGAGAGGCAGAGGGGTCAGTGAAGAGCAAGTTGGGAGGGCTGGAGAGATGCTGAGAAGCCTAGAGGGCAGAGACAGAAGTTGGGGGTGCAAAGGGTGAGGTGGAGAGGAGGCTGAGGCCATACAGGGGCCGCGGGGTGGGCAGGATGGACCGAGGAGCCTCACCTGCTGCCCAGAGAGAAAGCAGAGCGCAGAAGAAACTCAGCTTCATGACCTCTGGGTGCCTGGGTCCTGGAGTCTGGCTCTGGTATCCCTGCTTCTTTATGGTAAGCCATGCCATCTCCTTCCTCCTCCCTGTGATGAATTAGGGCTAAAAAAATGTCACTGGAGGAGGAGGATTCCTGGGGCCTTGACTGAAGGCCCTGAGAAGGCGGCCACGCAGGGGAACCGCCTGTCTGGACAAGGTGAGTGCTGCCAGGCCAGGGGTTGACAGCATGGGGATGGTCGGCCAGAAAATGGAATCCTCCTGGGTGTCTTCAAAGACGAGGAACCCTCATTCCCCATGCCCTCTGCATGCAGGATCTAGACAGAGGGTATTCTGTGGCCGAGAGGAGGAAGAAGGTGAGGAAGAAGATCCCTAAGGCGGGGTCCTGGGTGGAAGCAAGTCGATCCGTTTTTTTTTTTGTTTGTTTGTTTGTTTTATCCTCACCTGAGGACATTTTTTTTTGTTTTTTGTTTTGTTGTTGTTCAGATAGAGTGGGAGGGAGGGAGAGAGGGAGAGAGAGAGAGGGAGAGAGAGAAAGAGAGAGAGAGAGAGAGAGAGAGAAACATCGATGTGAAAGGGACACATCAAGTGGTTGCCACCTGCACAACCCAACCAGGGCCGGGGACAAACTGCAACCGAGGTACATGCCCTTAGCGGGAACTGAACCAGGGTCTCTCTGGACCGCAGGCCGACGCTCTAACCGCTGAGCCAAATCAGCCAGGGCAGCAAGTTGATCTTGAATGAAGCTGTGGTGAGCTGGGAACAAGGTACAGGAGCACTGCTCAGAAATCAGGGCAGACGTGGAGGAAGGATCTAGGACTTAGAGGGAAGAAACCACACAGGGAGACAGAATGTGGCTGAGGTGGGGAAAGAGAAAGAAATAATAGAGAGATAGACACACACACACACACACACACACACACACATATACACTCAGAGAGAGAGAGAGAGAGAGAGAGAGAGAGAGAGAGAGAGGCAGAGACCACAGGTGTTCGAGAAACATAGTCCCAACTGGATTAACTCACACTCGTCATAACCTACCTCTGAGCTCCCTTCCTCACATCCTCAGCGCCACAAGGACCAGGTGGCCAACCTGCCTGGAACCTAGCACTGTTCCCCTCTTCCTTTTCTCTTATTACCACCAGATCTTGACTAAATCCAGAGAACATTCTCTCGTTTTTTTCTCATCCATCTCTTTCCCATCACCTCATTCTTGCTGCATCCCTCCCCCCCACGCGCCTCCTCATCAGATGAGGAGACCAGGAAGGGCCAAACCCAGGTCTAACTCATCTTAGTGTCCCCAGAATCACTCAGTTCAGGCTGGGTTCCGGGAGGTTTTAGAATATGTTAATTAAATGAGTGAATGTTTTTCTCCAGATCCTTCTTTTCCTGGTGAACTCGAACGCATTCTTCAAGACCCAATCTAATTACCCCCTCCTACAGGAAGTCTTCTCTGATTTCTCCAAGCAGACTCCATTATTTCCTCCCCTGAGCACTCACAGCCTCTTCCACTTGCTGCAAGCCTGGTGAACAAACAGGGTCTGTGCTCCTTTTGATGTGTCCTCACAATGGTATAGGAGTTTGGAGCATGAGTTCTGGACTTGGACCACCTGATCCCAAGTCTCAGTGCTGGAAATTATTCGGGGTATGAACTTGAGCATGTCACCTCCCCCTGTTGCTCCATCTATTAAGAGGCAATAGTAACCAGGGTGGTAGGGGGCTAGTAAATTCACACTTCCGAAGCATGGTGGTGTCTGGCACATTTCCAAAAACCTGTCTGTCCATCTCCTACAGAGCCCTGCACTGTCCCCCATGACTGGAGTCATCTTACCCCCTCTCCAGACAAGCAGGTCTTCAGACCAAGGACTGCATACCCACTACGTGCCATACCAACTGCTTTAAGAACATCTCGATAGCTACCCTTGTGGATTCTTTATTCTGTTTGTTCTCATTGACTTCTCATAAGAGTCTTTTCCATCTCAATTTCACAGGAACAAGGTTGGGAAATGGAGGTAAAGCATTCAAGTAATTTCTTCAAGGTCACACAGTAAGTAATAGAAATACATTTCCACTCTAACTGGTGAACTCCTACTTATTCTTTAAAACCCCAAAGCTATGCTTCCTCATCTGAGAAGACTTTTCTGACTCCTTCAGGAAGAGTCCTTGGTTCCTCCGTCAGGTACACTGTACCTCTTTCTGTTAGAGCATGATTAGTTTATATTTAAAGTCAACAATGTATTGAATGATTTCTGTGTGCTGGGTAGTGTACCAGATGCTTAGAAAACCACAGTGAATAAATCAGAGTTCTTGCCCTCATGGACTGGGTGGGAGGAGGAAGGGGACAGATCATTATGGAGTAAACAAATAAATAAGATTGTTTCTACTATAACAAGTGCTAAAAAAGAACATAAACAAAACAATATATTGGTGACTTGGTTGGAGGGGAGACTTTAGCTAGGGCAATCCTGGAGGGCATCACTGAGGAGGTGACCTTTGCGTGGAGACCTGAATGCCAGGAATGCAAGGCTTACCTGTCTCCTTGACCTGACTAGCAGCTCTCTGAGGGTAGGGCCCAGTCTGATTCATCTCTAGGAACTGACGCAGGACAGGGTTCAATAAACACTTGTGTCATGACTGGAGAAACCGGTGAATTGTCTTAAAAAATGAACTGAGTTTTTGAGTCCCCACTCACCTTTGTTCTGATCCTGGCATAACAAACTCAGCTGATATGTTTCATCAATGTTCCCTGGGTGTTCTAATGGGGGTGGGGGAAGGGTCAATGGAAGGGACTGTGCACCAGTATTGTGTGAGGGCAGGGACCTTGTAGGCATGGCTGTGTTCCCAGCCCAGCGCGGGGCCTGCTGTATAATACATGCTCAATACGTTGGTGTTTCAATGGGGAAAACAAGAACCTGAACTGGATGGAAAATTTCCTATTGTGCAGATGGTCAGCTTAAGTTACCTCTCCAAAATCCAGGCTAAGTGGGGAGGCAAGAACAATTGTTAGCTTTGCCTGGATTCTGTGTATAACTCCCCCGACCCCATTCCTCCAGCATATTTGGAATATTTACACGGAGACAGTTTCAGAGAGAGGAAATGAACCCCTCTTCCACATTTTCAGAGCAAAATGCCAAATACATTTTGGGATGGGGGTGGGGGTGGAGTTGGTCCCGGGCTATGGGGGTTGGATGAGGGATGAGAATGAAGACGTGGGGAGCTGGGGTTGCAGCTCTTGTTTGGTGAAGGCATGCTGATGGATCTAACAAACAAACAGGAAAATGTCCCCTAAATTTCAGAGGGTTTCTTTGCATGAACTTAACACCTGAGGTGAGGAAAGTTCCTCTGGTCTTAGAGGCTGGGATGAAGGCACAGTGAGGTCCCTTGGGTTGCAGTGGCCCCAGGAAGGTAGAGAAGGTACCAGATGACTCAGAGCCGACCCAGCTCCTGCTGGGACAGGACCAACTGGTGTTGGGTGGACCCAGATGTGGGAAACAGTGGGAGGGAAGGAGGAAGTGGTTCATCAGTGCTTCATAGAACTTCTGAGGTGGGTGAAAATGTGATTTTCCCATCAGCCCTGAGGAATGAAGATGGGGATGGTGTGGGGGGTAGGACTGGGGACTACTCCTGTGCTTTTCTCCCCAGGACACAGTCACACATGTAGTCACCAGGACCTGTTCACAGATCGTGACACCAAATAACATTTAGTCAGAGCTCACCACCCACTGTGGAAGGCTTTACTGAGAATTACCATAATGATCTGTGCGCACACACGTTATATCAGTCTCCCCACAATACATCGATGAGGTAGGCACTCTGTGTTTCCATTTTCCAGGGGAAGAAACTAAGGCCCAGAGAGGTTCCTAGCTTGGCCAAGGCCACACAGCAGAGAATGGTAGAGGAAGCCGGACTGGGGGACTGAGAACTTCTCTCATAGACTGGGTGAGCACTGGCTTCCTGGCCCCTCGTGAAAAGGACTTGCCCCCACTTTCTGCACTCCATCAGGGACAGGAGGGAAGAGGAGAGGTGTTTGCTGGCAAGGGTGGATGGCTGAGGTTTGAACGGGGCCAGGGCTGAGCCCAGCGACTGTACAGGAAGGATGGCAGATGGTGAAGGAGTCTTGGGACTGGTGGGTCAGTTGGAGCGAATGGTTTTCTCGATCCAGGAAGTGTATTTGCAGATCTGTGTGTAGACAGCTGGGTGCTGAGCAGAGCCGCAGGGGTAGACACCCCAGGAAAGGATGCCCTGCAGGGTCTCATCACAGACCAGAGGGCCACCGGAGTCACTCTGGGGGTAGGAGGAAGGAGAGATCAACATCACACACCAATGTGAGGGCAGCTGCTTGGGGGTCTGAGGTAGTGATGGGGGAATAGGGAGCTGGCCTAGAGATGAGGTTGGGGTGGGGTTCGAATTAGACATGATGTGTAGTGGGATGGGGTGGAGTTGGCCTTGGGTTTTCGGTGTTGAATCAGGCAATGAGAATGGAGATGTGTGTGATAGGGCTGAGGTCCAGCTCCTGCCAGGTAAGGGGAGGGAGTTGGATCTACAGAGAAAGTTGGGGTGGGGGCTGAAGCATGGCTTGAGGATGGGAATGAAGTTCAGGATGGCATGGGAAGGGGTAGTGCTGGAGACCGTGTTGGGCATGAGAAGATGAGCCCAAGGAGGCAGAGTGGGATGTGGGGATGTGAATGAGAACGGGGCTAAGGAGCAAACCCGACGCGCTCACAGGGCTACAGGACAGACTGACTCGCACAGAGACCGAAAGGAACCTCACGGGATGGTCTGATCACAAATTTCTAACTGGGCCGTTCCTAGCGGGTCTTCACGTCCTAGGCCTACAGCTTCTGCTGCAAAGGTCAATCTGTACCTCAGTCAAACCCTGGCCGTGGTTGTTATGTGTCTGCGATAACATGCCTTTGAAATGTGAGTCATCTCCTTTTCCAAACCCCTCGGAGGCAAAGGGCTGGAGCCAGGTCAAGACCACAGACGTCCTCCCTGTCCTGTGGCCCGCATGCCATTGATGCACCACTTACTGTGAATGCGAGAGGTTGACGATCCCGTACCCACCACGGCAGGAGAAGTATGGAGCTCCCCATGTAACTTTGTATCCAGTTCTAGACATGTCCCCATTTACTTTCTCCTGCCTCCTTCATCCACCACCAGTGAATTTCATGGAATCCTCCTTACGTCTCTCCTTGGACTCTGAGTGTGTGAAATAAACTGCCAATCTGCAGTTCTCCAGAGCATTTTCTCAACCCGTGGAGATCACGCTTCCAGGCATGTCCTCAGTATGCTCACTCCAATAAACTCATACAATGTTTTTTTTTTTGTTTTGTTTTTTTTATCCTACCCGAGGATATTTTTCCATTTTTTGTTCAGACAGAGCGGGAGGGAGAGAGAGGAAGAGAGAGAGAGAGAGAAACATCGATGTGAAAGGGACACATCGAGTGGCTGCCACCCGCACGACCAACCAGGGCCGGGGACTAACTGCAACCGAGGTATGTGCCCTTAGTGGGAACCGAACCCGGGTCTCTCTGTACCGCAGGCCGAAGCTCCAACCGCTGAGCCAAACCGTCCAGGGCCTCATACAATGTTTATATAGGTTTGGACATACTACTGTTGACAGGGAGGAAGTCGAGGTCGGCATGGGAGAGTGTTGGACATGGGGATGATGTGTGGCTGGGTGGCTGTGGGGTTGAGGACAAGGGTGCATCATCTACTTTCCCATAACCTCCCTGTGCTCGCTCCCATGAGCCAGAGACCCTCCCGGGGCGGTCCCTACCTGGCAAGGGTCCTGGCCTTGGTCCAGTCCTGCACACATCATGTTGTCGGTGAGTACGCCAGGGTAGAAGACCTCACACTCTCTCTGGCTCAGGATAGTGACCCTGGAGCAGCTCAGGCCCCTGTTGTACTTCACTAATGGGAGAAAACACCAGCTTGTCCCGGAATCCCACCCCAGCTCCAGGACCCAGGAGTCCAGACACCCCGACTATTCCTATCCCGGGCCCCCAGGCCCTCCTCCCACAGACCCAGGAGTCCAGGACCCCATACCTCATACCCAGAAGTTCTGTTCCCCAGCCCCTCTTTCCCAAGATGCAGGACCCCCAGCTCTTGCCTCTCCGGGTGGCTGTGGTGCCCCAGCCAGCGACCTGGCACTCGTCCCTGGGCTGGGAACAGCGGTAGGGCAGGCGCAGGGTCCGGATACGAGACCCGAGCACCACTGGCCTTCTCAGCTTCATTAACATGAGGTCATGCTCATCCGTCCGCCTTGGCAGGATGGGACCTGAGCCCTGGTGGTATTTGGGGTGCATAACAGAGAGCGTGGTTCTGCGGAGCTGCTCACCCTGGAGAAGCAGCAGGTGGTCATCTCCAACTCGAGCCCACAGCTGCCTAAGGACGGAAGAGCCATATGGAGGCTAAGCCTTTGTTTAGACCGAAAATAGACCCCGAGTCCCTGGGAAGGAGGGTACAGGCAGTGGGGTGAAGGTAGACACCTGGATCCTAGAAGGGGCTGGGACTCCTGGGCCTGAGAGAGGAGGGGACTGGGGGCTCAGACTCCTGGTCTGAAGCAAGAGTGAGTGGAGAGGAGAACTGGGGACCTGAATGCTTAGGACATGGGGAGGAACAATCAGATGTCTGGGTTCCTGACCTCTACTGGGGGTCTACCTGGTAAGCTATCCTTTCCCGCCTCCCTCAGTAGAGACTCGTGAAATGAAAAATTTCTTTGAGTTTGAAATTCCTAACCACACCAGAGCTTGACTTCTGTCTGTTGCACACAACCACCTACACCTAAATGGACCTCAAGGAGAATCAGGTGGACAGGGGTGATGGATGGGCCTAGAAATGCTGAGGACCACACCGCCCTCTGGCGGCCACAGCGCAGCCCCATCTCTCCTCGCAGGAACACCCCCAGAACTGACCCCACAGGGAACTGGGAGAGTTCCACACCCTCGAGTGCCCCAGCCCTTCCCACCCCTCCCCGGGGCCCGCCTCCACAGCGACCTCCGTGGCGCCCCCCAAGAGCTCCCCTACTTGATGTTCCCGCAGTGCGCGGCGGTGAGCACCCAACTCTTGTCCACCAGGACACCCGCGCAGTGGAACGAGAGGCCATTGAAGAGCGAGACGTGCCAGGGCTGTGAGCCGCGCGCGCACGAGGCGCCAGAGGCCTCGAGGTTAGAAGCTGTGTCGTTTGGGGGGAACATCGCCTCAGCAGCTGGAGAAAGCAGGTGGCGATCAGAGCAGGCAGGGCTGGTTCTGGGGTCCGTGCGCGGCCACGGGACGGAGCGGGGTGGGGGTGAGGGTGAGGGCGGCCGCCAGAACCCGGGAGAAGGTGGAAAGTGTGCGCGGGGGTGGGGAGGGGGGTCCCGATGGAACCTAAAGGAAGTGGGCGAAGAAAAACGGCGTGGAAGGGGAAGAAGGCGGGGACAGTAAGGGAGGAGAAGGGACCCAACGGGTGGGTCTGAAGGGGCAGGGACGGAAGGGGGCGTGGAGAATGCGGGGCGGGGCAGGTGCGGAGTAGGTGTGGGAATAACGCAAGGTGCTGGGAAATGGGCCAAGACGGAGAGCGATACGGCCAGGCTCGGGGTAACACAGGGCGGAGTACGAAGGGACCGGGACAAAAGGAGCAGAGCGAGGGGATGGGATTAGCACTCGGTGCAGTTAGAGGCGAGGAAAGGACGAGGGGAGGCAAAGGGGGGAGAGAGGATGCGGGAGGTGTGAGGGGCGCGGCCTGGGCGGGGACGCGGCACCCGGGGCGGAGCTAGATGGGGGCGGGGCTGGCTTGGGGCGGGGTCCCAAGGACCGGAGCGGAGTGCGGGGGTTGGTGGAGAGAGCTCACTCTCCCTGCGCCCCGGGTCTCCGCGCCTCCCTCCGAGCCCTGACCCCCGCCTCACCCCACAGTTGCGCCATCAGTAGCGGCAGCAGCAGCGTCGCCGGGGCCCGGGCGCCAGAGGCGGCGGAGAGGTAGAGGTGTTGGAGTGTCATGGCCAGGATCTGGGCTCGGGGTGGGGGGAGGCAGGGGACGGGTTAAAACAGATGTCCTAACAGAGACCCTCAACCCGCCGTGGCCGTCCGCCGAACTTGGGCCACCCCAGCCCGCGGGGACCCGTGTAACCCACGACCCACAACCTCAGGGGCGGGCGGAGGGGCAACTTCTGCTGGTAACGGAGCAGTTATCCTAATGATGCCCCCTGCTGCGCCCTCCTGCCCTCCCTACTCCCAAGAGGGGCGCGCTCCCGGCCAGGACAGCCCCGGCGGCCAGCAGGGCTTTCGCCCTCCTTCACAAGCAGAGGGGGGCGGGGGGTCTGGAGGGAAATCGAGACTCCAGCAGGGCTCTTGCCCGCTATTCGAGGCTCCCCAACCAGAGTGCAGCGCATCCCACCTCACCTGGGAGTCGCCGAGGGTAAGGAGAGTGGAGACCCAGAAGTTCCTCCGCCCTGCCGTGAGGGCCGCCAGGATTCTCTGCCCAGGGACCCCTGGCCGGGCCTTCCCTTTTAACCTCGGAGAGCCCGGAAACTTCCCCACCCTCCCCCCGGGGACTCGCCCCCTCCTTTTCCCTCTCCCTAATTATACCGTGGGTGTGGCTGGCACCCGTCCTGGGCCCCAGATTCCTGCTCTGGGAGGGGCCCCGGGAATACAGGCTTCTCTCATTGCCTGAAACACCCTTTTAGGAGCTGGGTTCCGTGGGGATTTCCCTAGGTCTCCTGCTCCAGATGGGGAGAGAGGGTGCCCAGGGAACCCGAGGGTGGCGGGGACGGTTGTGGAGATAGAGCCGACGAGAAGAAAATAAACGGAGAAATGCATGCCTCGGAAAACAAACAAACAGGGAAACGCAAACCTGGAATGACAACAGTAGGCTGCCAGGAAGAGAGGGAGGCAGAGAGATAAGACAGATGGAAGGAATAAGCAGGAGCCACAGAGAACAGACACCTAGAAACAGGAAAAGGAAAATGGGGAGACAAAGGGAGAGAAGGCGGCAGAGAGGAAGACCCAGAAGGATGGATGGTCTGCGCTGGAGTCAACCCCACAGCCAGAGCAGTGAACTCAGTGTGTGTCCCAGTGACCAGCCTCCCGTGTGTGTGTGTGGTGGGGGGGGGGGCTCCGTGTCATCCCCATATGTGGTCCCTTCACATCCTCCCTGCCATCTGTGTGTCTGCAAGTGACATGCAGGCCCATGAATCACAAGAGGCTGCAAGGGGTGTCCACATCACCTCAGCCAACTTCCTCATTTCGGGTTTGGAAACCGAGGCTCAGAGAGGGCAGGGACTCACGGGAGGCCAAGCAGCAAGTCCGCCTAACGAGGAGGAGGCCCCAGTTCCAGCTCTGGACTCTTCCTCCTCACGCCAGCTCCCTCCCCTGCCGCCAGCTCCCTCCCCTGCCGCCAGCTCCCTCCCCTGCCCGGACAGCAGAACATTGGACAAGAGCCTGGATGCTGAGCTCTTTGCTCGGACCCTTTTCCAGTGAGAAGTGAGTGAATCCCAGAGGCTCCCCAGCTCAGCGCTGTCTGAGCGGAATTCCTGCAGCGATGGCCATGGTCTGTCGGTGGTGTCCAACACGGCTGCCGCCAGCCACATGGCTACGGACGGCGTGCTCGCTAGGTGTCAAGTGAGTCTGAAGAAGGACATTTCTGATTTTATGTAATTTTAACTTAAATAGTCACGTGTGGTCAGCGGCTGGCCTACTGCCCTGCACAGGTCTTGAGGAACTATCTACCCATCATGGAGGCTGGAAGCAAAACGGTGCTGGCTCCCTTCTGTTCGGTCTTCACTGTGTGCAGGCAGAGACTCTGCATGCTCGAGTGCTCTGTGCATGCCTTGTCAGGGAAACCGAGTCTCAAGGCAGTACGGCTCGGTTGTTCAGAAATCACCCCTGTTTCGGACTCCTTGCCTTTCTTCTTCCTGGCTGTGTGACCATGAGCAAGTGACTTCATTTCACTGTGCCTCAGTTTCCTCATCTGCAAAATAGGTATTATAATAATAGCACTGACCTCATTAGGCTTTTGTGAAGGGTAAATGAACTGGTACACGGGCCAGGGTCTGGCGCCCAGTAAGCACTCAGGAGATTCATTCATTTCCTAGACATTTATTGAAATCTCGTGCCAGGAACTGTCTTTGGGGCTGGGGATACAACAGTGAACCAAACAGCCATTAATAATCACTCCCAGAGGCACAAGTTAATAGGAGGCTGGATTTGAACCCAGGTCTCATTCATTCCAATGAGTTGCTTATTAAGCTTCAACATCTATCTGGTCAAGGAAGCCCCAGAAAAGCATACAAAGGGGTCATGGCTCAGGCTTTATTACAAACAGAATGAACAGGAACTACATCACCAGGTAAGGATGGGGTGTGGGTAGGGATGGTGAGCTGGTCCCGGCTAATTGTTCTTCATTGTCTCCCTAATCCAGTCCACATATTTGCAGACCTTTGTGTAGACACCAGGCTTTCTGGTGACAGCACATGGGTCCTGGCCCCAGGAGATAATGCCTTGAAGAGACCCGTTACAGACCATGGGACCTCCAGAGTCACCCTGGGGATGGGGAGAGAGAGAACCAGTCAGCGAGGATGCGAGGCCTTGGGAGAGGGGAAGGTGTTGGGCATGGTGTTAGGGAAGAGGTAGGGATGGTGTTGGGAGTGTGGTGGAGACTGAGGAAGGGATTGGGAATGAGGCTGGAGTTATGGGTAGGAACAAAGATGGCGTTCGGGGTGAAAATGGATTTGGGGGTGTTTGGGGTGGAAATAGGGAACAGGGGATGGAGATGGATTTGGGGCAGCAGGTGGTGATGGGGTTAGGGTTGGGATGAGACCGGGAGAAGGGCAGGTAGGGAAGAGGTGGGGATGGTGAATGTAGATGAAGACACAATTGAGGTTGCAGACCCAGGCCCGGCCCGCTGACCTGGCAAGAGTCCTTGCCCTCCTCCCGAACACTGGCGCACACCATGGTGTCTGTGATGTTGCCAGGGTAGGCGTTCTCACACTCCTGGTGATCGATGATGCTGATGTTGGCACATCGCAAGGTATGAGGCAGGCGCACTGTGGAAACAGCAGGAAGGGGTGTGGGAGATGAGCACCTCCTGGCTCGGTTCCCCACACTTGCTCTGCACCTGAGAACTTGCTCTGCGTCTAGTCCCTGTGCTTTGTTTACAGCCAACCCATCTCTCCGCCGGTAACAACAGCTATCGAGTAAATTCTTAGTTGCTCTATATACATTATCTCTCATCCAGCCCTGGTAGGTGGGTGTGATTATTCTCGTTTTACAGAGAAGAAAACCAAGGTTGAGTGAGGTGAAGCCACTTGCCTAAGGCCCTACAACAGCACCTGTGGACTTGAAACTGCACTTCCCACCTGTCTGACTCCAAGGCCCACATTCCTGTCTCTGCCCACCCCCAGCCCTTCCTGTCTGCTTCCCCTTTAACCTTATCCCACCGCTGACACCTCCATGGAGCCCCCTCTTGGGCCGCTGTGACTCATTTTGGAAGGTTCTTCTGGTTTCCTGTCCTTACGCAATCATGACCACCCTGCCCCCATCCCATCCCCCCGTGGCGCTCCTACACTGGGGGCTGGACGTGCTGCCCCAGCCGGAGATGAGGCAGCGGGTGCCAGGGGTGACGCAGCGTGATGACAGGTTGAGGGGTCGCACAGCCCGGGTGATGATGGCAGGTGCCACCATCTTCACCAGCATGATGTCATTGCGGTGGTCTTTGTTGGGGAGTCTGTTGTTGAAGTCTGGGTGGGGGAAGGACTCGGTGGCCATGCGGGTCTGCTCCCAGCCATCCGATCGCTGAAGGTTGTGCTCCCCCAGGTGGACTATGTATTGGCTGAGGTGGAAGAGATGGTGGTCAGAGATGGAAGGGTAGGGAGAGATGCGGGGTGGGGGGGACATAAATGCATCTGAAGGAATGAAGGGCCACACCTCCACTTCCAACCTCATCCCCATGTCCTGTCGAAACCTGCTTCCAAACTGTATTCCCACCCAGCTCCCATCCGCATTCCCAACCTCATCCCAGTTCCAACATCATCCATCCCTCCCCTTGCAATCTCCAGTGACCCCCCCATCAATACTAACACCACCTTTCTGGCCCCCTGCACTTTCTCCCCAGCCCCAAGCCCCTCTCCACGCATCTCTCCACCTCCAGCCCCCTCCCAGCCCCGCCCCAGCCCCCGCACCCACGGCTTGAGGCAGTGAGCCGCTGTCAGGAGCCATTGGGGGGCGATGAGCGTCGCCCCACAGAGCAGACGGGTCTTCTGGAACAGAGCCACCTGCCAGGGCTGGGAATGAGGAGGACACTCGTACCCCTTGATGATCCTCGTCTCTCCCCCTACATGCCCTGGAGGGGGTGCAAAAGAGGGGCTCAGGCATGAGAGGACTCCCAGGAGAGAGAGGAGGGGAGGTGGGTGTCTGCGCCCTGGCCTGCTGTGCGCTGGGATGCACTGGGGACAGGCCTGACGCTGAAACCTTTCCTAGCAGTTGGCCGTGACCTCGGTCCTGAGCTCTTTGAATGTCCCCCACTCCGGCCTGGCTGCCCTGGCCCCTCCCCTGGGACCCTCCTTGACTTCTCCCGTTCTAGCATCTAAAGGGATGGTGCCTGCTACAGCCAAGGGGCTCTGGGACCTCATCATGGTCCACATATCCATTCAGATGCCCTTGGGTTATTCTATAGTTTGAATATTGGTCCTGCCCCTATCCAGACACAGAGGGTTGGGGGATGCTAGGGGTTTGAGAGGGAGGCCCCTGCCCTTCCCCATCACCCCCATACCTGTCACCATAGCAAATATGATTAATCGCAGAATCGTCATGGCCTGGAGCGGGGAGGAAGGGGAGGGCAGGCCCCGGGTTCTTCTGGAAACAAAGAGGTGCAAGGGGCCAAGTCACTTTAAGGGGGTGTTTGCAAGCTGGTTTCTGCCCTCTCCTCTCTCCCTCTCCTGCTCTGACTGTCACTAGGAAGACGACTGGGGTTGAAGGATCCCCTCATTCTCAAGGCAGCCCCATCTCCGAAACCTGGAAATAAATCTCTGGTATGGAGGGGGGCCTTGGAGGGACATGATCTCAGGCAGAAGCTTTCGGTAGCCCAGGAGGATGTGGAGTGGCTGGGAGAAGCTTTGCCCAGCGTAGGTGATGGGCTGGCCATGTTTTAAGACAGCCACGGAACCTCCGAGGTTCACTATGCAGAATGTTTTTCTCCTTGCCCACCTGAGACCTGGCCAGGCCCCAGCAGCCTGGGGCAGGATCATAAAGGGACCTGGGATCATTCAGAAACCACCCAGCGTGATAAGGGTCCGTCATGGGCTCCCTGGGGTGCAGAGGGGGCTCAGCCTGGGGTGGTGTTTTGGACCCTGCCCAGCTTCACCCTCGCCCCTTGGAAGAACAAGTGGACAGAGCTGGGGAAGTCTGGCCACAGGAGGAGCCAGTGTCCTCAGCGGCCTTGGCCAGCAGGGGTAGAGGTGGTAGGCTGGACCCAGTGACAGAGGCTGGGGTCAGAGGTCACTGAGGTTGGGGGCCGCCGGTTGGAGAGGCAGAGAGAAACAGAGAGCCCCCACCCAGGCCTAGAAGCTCAGAGGAAGAAGAGAAATAGTGCTGAGGCCCAGGAGCCTGGTGTTCTCCGTCTGATACACCTGGAGGGGGACCTCCCCTTCCCCCCCGGACTCACGGGCTCTGGGGCTGGGGCTTCCGGGGCCCACAGTGGTGGTGGCAGCTGCGGCAGGCTGGGGCAGGCTGGGTTGGAGCTCGAGGCACCAGGCAGGCAGGCAGGAGGGGGTTGGCCCCGATGACTGGGCCTCCCAGCCCTGCCTCATTGTCCTGGGGGCGGGGTGTGTATGGGGGCCCTACCCAGCTGGGCCCTGGGCCTTGGAGGTGCCTGCCCGCCTCTGTCACCTCTCCAAGCCCCTCTTCCCTCGGCTTCTCTCAGTTTCTCCTGTCTGTCCGTCCATCTGCCAACATCCTGCCATGTCACTCTGAGTGGCTCTCTTCATCTGTCACTCACCGCCTTTCTGAAATTCTGCCTGTGTGTCATTTTCTGGGTCTCTGTGGGATTGCGCCTTCCTGTCTTCATCTAGCTCTGTTTTCATCTCCCAGGCTCTCTCTGCAGGTCTCTCATGCTTTATCCTTCTTTGTGTCTGCCTCTGCCTCCCTCCCTCTCTCTCCCTCCCTCCTTCCGTCTCTTTCGCTGTCCCTTCTTCTTCTACCTCATCCCTAGCTGGGCCTGCCCCTCCCTCCCCACAACCGGAGCCCAGGTGGGCCCCTGGCCTCCTTTAGGCCCCTCCCTTCTCCATTCCAAGGGGGGGGAACTGGGGCGTCCCAGAGGTGGGGCTGCTGCCAGGCAGAAGGGGAGGACAGGAGGGTGGGGGAGGCAGGTCGGGGCCTGTGGGAGTCAAGGCCTGAGAACTGGAAATCAAGGCTCCTCGGGCCGACCCTTCCCTCTGCCCCTCTCTCCCCCCTCCCAGTCTGGCAGGAGCCCCCAGGATCCTTGGGATCCAGCCATGGCACTTACTCGCTGTGTGACCAGTGTCCGATGACTTCCCAAATCGGAGCCATCTCAAATTCCTCGTCTGCAAACCCGAGTGACAATCCCTACTTCTTCTGGCTTGTTATCAGTTAGATCTCCGGCTTGCCCTCCTCTCTCCCCTAACCAGATGCGGAGCAGGCCTACCAGGTAGGCCTGGGTTCTGACAGCAGCCGGCCCTGGCCCCAAACCTCCGCTCTGCCTCTTCCTACCATGGTGACGTGGGATGAGGGACTCCACCCCAGTGAGGCTCAGTTTCTTCATCTGTGACCTGGGGGTAACAGCCCTGCCTTGGGAGGTTGGGATGAGGACTTCAGGAGAAGCCAAGCAAGGACAGGAGGTTCTCAGCAAATGTTCCCACGGCTGTCATGATCACACCTCAAATTCCTTCTCCATTCATTGGGGAAAAGTTCGCTTTCCACCTCCTGGAGAGGCAGTGAAGGCAGACCCCGGGTGGGCAGGACTATTCCAAGATATAGGCTGGGTTCTCTGGCCGATCAAGGTTGCACCCCACCCTCCATCATCGCAAGCATGAAAACAAACCCACATCCCACGTTAAATATAACGTCTGCTTGGCTCCAGTGGAACCAAATAGGCTTTGGCCAATTGGAGGAATGTTACATTTTATAGACATTTAATTAAATGGTCATGAATTTTGATTTCACAGTTGTCCTTGGGCATTTTGCAGCTAGTGGGTTTTTTTATTTTTCCTCCTTCAGGTTCTTACGGGCCCTTGAAAAGCTTATAAACTCTTGGTTCCCGTTCCTGTGTGACCCCTGAGGGAAAACGCTTACCCTCTCTGATCTCTGTTTCTACACCTGTGAGTAGGGGAATTAATGAGCCCTCTCTCCATTCTCAACCAGCACAAGAATACCAAATAAATATTACCCCTTTTTGAATTATATTTATTCCAAAGAGTCACGCACTCCCTCCTCCCTGAACCATGGGTCTTAGAAGGGTTGGCTGGAGTTGCCGTTCTGGGAAGAAGATTCCCTAGATCAAGAACAGTGAGAGCTGGATTTGATGATAGAGGCGGTGTTGGAGCTCTGATGGTCAGAGTGGCCCCCAAGCCGAGGGGTGGAAGTAGAAGGCGCAGGTCAGTTGTTCCTCATGACCTTCTGGATCCAGTCCACATATTTGCAAATATTGGTGTAGACTCCTGGGATGCCTTCTTGCCCACAAGGCCCAACGGACCCCCAGGACACCAGACCCTGAAGGACTCTTCCGCACACCAGGGGGCCACCAGAGTCACCCTGGAAGAAAAAGGGGGAAGGAGCATGGCCTGAATGTGGGAGAAATCCTGTTCCAGTTTTCCTCTCCCCAACACACTGGAGAACACCCTGTTCCCAGGCACCAAACCCAGGGAAGGTGGGGAGGAGTTTCCTCAGGACCATGGCTGGGGCCCTGACCAAGGAGGGGCGAGAGCATGGGCATCAATAACCAATCCCAGCAAAGGAAGGGTGGGATTCTGTAAGAGTTTTCTGCAGGATAATGGCTGGGACCCTGGCCAATGAGGTAGCGAAGATGGCAAAGTAGCAGAATTTGAGGGTGAGCGAACTCTCCAGCCCCCTTTCCTGCCTCCGTCCTGGAATCTCTCACCTGGGCCAGGATCAGATGGAGGATGGTATGGGGAAGACTGGAGAGGCAGTAGGCTACCTGCCTGAGCCCCCTTGCCTGCTGCTTCCTTACCCTCCCCCATCTCCTCTCTTCTCTCTGCCCACCACCTCCCTGTCTTCCATGCCCTGGCTTGTCCTCCTGTCCTGCCCTCTCCCTTACTCTGTGCCTTCCCTTCTCTCTGACCTCATCTTTCTCCCCTACCCCCTGCCCTGGCTCCCCCTCCCCATTTCACGTTTCTGCCCCCTACTTCCTGTCCCAGGGGACCATGCGCTGCCTGCACCTTCTCACCTGGCAGGCGTCCTTCCCCAGCCTGCCGCCCGCACACACCATGTTGTCCGTGATCCTCCCAGGGTACACGGCTTTGCAGTCGGCGCTGGAGACGACGGAGATATTAACGCATTGGAGCCGGTCTGGGAAGGGGTCTGGGTGGAAGACGAAGACAGTTTCCCCCACAGCTCCCCACGTTGGGGCCACGTCTCTCCTCTCAAGGAAGCTCGGTCCGAATCCATGCCCCGTCCCCTCCCTGGGACCCCTGTAATCCTCAGACCTCCAAATTTTAGATGGATGACTTGATTTCGTAGTGGCCTTTGACCCCAGCCCGTTGGCCCAGTTCCCTGACCTTTAACCTCTAACTTCGAGTATCACAAATCTAGACCCTCCTTATTTCTCCAAACTCAGATAGATTAAATTCAGACCCTGACCTCCTCCTCCAGTTTATGTGACCTTTGACCTTAAGTCTTATCATCCTTTGACCCCCAACTTGACCTCACATCTTCTGTCTCCTGATCCCATATTCCTTGTTTTCACCTTAAGCTCCAGCCTCAGTTCTACATCCTCTTAACCATTATGCTCTACTCCACAGTGACCTCTGATCCTTGGTTATTTGAACCCTGACTCCATGACCCCTAGCCTCTGGCTCCATACCCCAAACCCCGTGGCTTCCAACCCTAAACCAATGATCCCTAATTTCCATCTTTAGATTGCTGGCAGCTTTTACATGTGGATCCTATGACCTCACCTCTTCAATGAGACCCCCTGTTCCTATTTACATATGCCTTTTGCTCCAGTCTGTCGACCTCTGACCACATCCCTGACCCATGACATCTGGTTCCATACTATTCAACCCCCTAACCACTTTGACTCTTAAGACCAGAGCCACCATGATCTCTGACCCTTTAAACATTCTTCCTCTGACATGGTGTGAATCCTGACCTCTCATCCTATACCCAGACTTTTGCCCATTTTGACCCCTGACCCCAGGACCCCACCCCTTACTCCATGGTCTGTTGGTGGTGCCCCAGCCTGAGATGTGGCACTCGGTCCCAGCTGCTGCACAGGTGGTGGGCAGGGCCAGGGGCTGGACACTGCGGGTCAAGAAGACGGGAGTGCCCAGCCTCAGAAGCCGCAGGTCATGTTCATGGCTCCTCAGGGCTCCCTGATAGTTGGGGTGGGTCATGGAGAAGCCACTGCGCCGGATCTGTTCTGTCCAGTCCAGGCGGCCGAGGCTGTGTTCCCCCAGGCGCACCCAGTACCTGCTGGGGGTTACGTTGGCTCAGCCGGTGGGCTGCCCCAAGGCTCCCGGGCCCCTCTGCCTCTGTCTCATGGCTGTTGTCTTGATCCCTCATTCCTTTGGCCTCGTTCTCTGTCAAAGGTGCTCCTTCTTAGTCTCTCGGTCTCTCTCTCCATCACCACAGCCCCCTCCCCCCGTGCGACTGCATCTGTGTCCCTTCGGATTCTCGTAGCTGGTGAGGCCCCGGGGGTGGGGACAGCTGTCAGTCTTCTTCACTGCTCTGTCCCCACCACCTGGGCTGTCAACGGAGTGAAACTGTCTGTCCTGCTCGTGTCTCTCCCTGTCCCCAAACCTCTCCATCGCTTTGTGTTCGAAACTTCCCTTCCACATAAAACCCACAGTGTCAGACATAGGAAGCACCATCCTGTCATTAAGAGTTTGAGTCAAACATGGGCCCAGGGCCCAGCCTGGGGTCAGGGAATGGCTGGGGCTGGTGACAGAGGCCCTAGAGGAAGGGAGGGGGACTCAAAGGAATGAGGGGAGTTAGGTGGGCAGGTCCTAGGACCCCGGACCCCGCCCTCTCTCCCACTGCACCCTCGCCAGCCTCGCTGTTGAAAAGCCCACCGTCGAAAAAGTCGCAATTCCTTGTCTAACATCAGACCCTTGTGGTGGGACCATCTCCTTTCTCCTTGACACTTCCCCCCCCCCGGGAACCCCTACCCCACCCCCGCACCTCCCTGCTCTGCTCCCCATCACCCTCCTTTGCCCGCTCCAGGAAGGAACCCAGATAAGGCGCTTACCTGCCGCTACAGTGAGCAGCTGTGAGGACCCACCTTCGGTCAATGAGGACCCCCCCACAGCGCAGGTTGACACCTTCAAACAGCCCCACCTGCCAAGGCTGGGAGTGAGGAACACACTCCGTGCCATTATAAATCTTCTCTGAGGACCCGTGGCTGAGCCCTGAGGATGGGTATGGGCCAGAGAGATGAGGTCAGAGACCCGTAGATGGTGGGTCAGAGAGAGGAAGAGACACACAAAGATGGTGAGACACAGAAAGAGGAAGAGGCGAGAGGAAGACAGATACCCTGAGAGAGAGCCAGGCACAGGGAGACACCTAGTGATGTATAGAAAAAGACAGTGTAACACCCAAGAGATACAGAGAGGAAGAGATAGAGGGAAACAGAAAGGTGCTTGAAGAGAGAGGGGAAATACAGATTGTGTGTGTGTGTGAGAGAGAGAGAGAGAGAGAGAGAGAGAGCGAGCGTGAGAGAGCGCAGACATGTAGTGACTGGGAGAGACAGTGGAGAGACGGGTCAAAGGGTGCAGGGGGCCCAGCCGCTGTGGCTCAGTGGACTGAGCATCCTCCCATGGCCTGAGAGGTTTCGGTTCGATTTTTGGTCGGGGTACATGCCCAGGTTGTGGGCTCAGTCCCCAGTAGGGGGCATGCAGGAGGCAGCCGATCAATGTTTCTCTCTCTCTCTCTTCCTCTCCCTCTAAAAAACCAATAAAAACGTATATTTTTAAAATGGTGCAGAGAGAGCTGAGAGGACCCTGGGAGCTGGAGGTGAATGGAGACACAGTCAGCTCCCTCCCCCACCTCATTGTCAGGCCAGAGCTGAGATGGGGAGGTCAGGGTCCCCTTGAGGCAGAGGGAGGGACTCTCCTCCTCCCCGGGGAACTCACCAATAACACACAGGAGCAAAAAGATGCTGGACCCCATGGCTGGCCATCTCCAGGTTCTGGGGAAAGGTGGGGGTACTCAGAGATGGCCCTTTCCTTGTCAACCAGCCCCTCCCTTCCTCATCCTTCTACGTCAGCTCCATGAGGATGGGGACGCCCCTTCTGTCTCTCTGCCAGCCCCCCCCCCAGCCCTTACCTGTGACTGCCTGCCCCTCCTCACCTTGTCGCTCTGCCTGCTGGGTCCTCCATGTGGCTGTCGATGGTGCAGCCTGTCTGTGTCTCTGTTATCTGTCCGTCCACCTACCTGCCTGTCCTGTCACCTGCCGGCCAGTCAGTGCTTCCACTATCCACCTGGCTTCTCAGCTACCTGTCATGCTGCCCTACCTGTCCCCTTCCTTCCGTCTGTCTGTCCCAGACCAGCAGCTGACACAGCTTTTAACTCTCTTTGTTCCGGCCCATTCCATTTCCTGGTTGAGGGAAGGGGACCAGGAAGACATCGGGTGAGGCACCTGCTAATCCCCTGCCAACTCTTCCTGACTCTAATGACACTTAATTGAGCTTCACAGCTAAATGGAGGAAGGGGAGCAGGAAAGAGGCCCAGGGGAGGGCCTGACCCCACTCCTCCCCTGTGCTCCAAGCCAGCCAGCTGCCTACCCCTTCCAGCTGATGACTCAACGTGATTCGGGAGTTGGGTTCTAATCCTGACTCCAGGAAAAAAAGCCGCAAGGAGGGTGGGGCGCGTGGACACCTGGGCCCCTCCCCACGCAGGGCAAGGACAGGGCAGGGGGGTGGAAGTGAGAGGCAGGAACACGAGGCAGAGAGAGTCTGGGAAAGAGGAGAGAAGGAGAAAGAAGAGATTTCGCAAGAAGCAACAGGAAGACGGAAGAGAGTTTCCAAACTGGGTTCTATGGGAGTCTATCTGAATTTTAAAAATTTTTTATTTACTGATGAGAGAGAGAGAGAGGGAGAGGGAGAGAGAGATCTGTTTCCACATATTTATACATTCATTGATTGATTCATGCATGTGCTCTGACCGGGGAGTCGAACCCTCAACTCGGGTGTACTGGGATGATGCTCTAACCAAATGGAGCTACCTGGCCAGAGCTCTAACTGAATTTTTTATTATTATTATTATTATTATTATTTTTATCCTCACCCGAGGACATTTTTCCATTTTTTTGTTCAGATAGAGCGGGAGGGAGAGAGAGGAAGAGAGAGAGAGAGAAACATCGATGTGAAGGGACACATCGAGTGGCTGCCACCCGCACGACCAACCAGGGCAGGGGACAAACTGCAACCGAAGTACGTGCCCTTAGTGGGAACCGAACCCGGGTCTCTCCGGACCACAGGTAGACGCTCTAACCGCTGAGCCAAACCGGCCAGGGCTCTAACTGAATTTTTAAAATGCACAGTGAACTCTGTTCCTTGCTTCAAGAAGTACAGTTTTTTTATATATATATATGAGGTCAATTTATTTAATTCCATGAACGTTTTTTCTTTGCATAAAGGCTTCCACTGAAAAAGAAAGGGATGGAGGGTGGGGAGAGGGAGCAGAGAGGGGGGGCTCTCTACTCCTTTTCTGTCTTTTTTGGGGGGTGATCTTGGGTCTCTTTTCCTCTCTGAATTCAGAATCACAAAACTTCAGCTTTTAATTTGTTCTAAAACACCACGGAATTCAACCTCTCCCTTTTTTGTGGATTTTTTTGGGGGAGATCTGGTTTATTGGGATGCAATTTACACTCAATAAAAGTCACGCTTTAGCTGCCCTTCAGGAGCCTGGGCCCAGCATTGCCAAATCCTCTGACATTTCAGGAAAAGCTGGAAATTCAGATTTCTGTTAGGACATTTCCTAACTAAATATTGGCCAACCTACCGCCCCCCCCAAACAACTATAGGTCCAACACAAATCCCTCTCTCCTCCTTTCCTGCTCCCCACCTCCCCCCACACTCCTTCTCTCTGCCTTTCTCTCTTTTTTTGACGTAAAATTCACATAACATAGAATTGGGCATTCAAGCCATTTTAAAATCCACAATTCCATGAATGCCACTGCACCCCCATGGTGTGTAACCACCGCCGCCGTCTCGGTTAGGAAGTTTCGCCACTCCCAAGAGACCCCGTGCCCATTAGGCTGATGTCCATCCACTGATGAATGGCTAGAGAGAATGTGGTCCATCCACACCACGGGCTATTGTTCAGCCGTAAGAAGAAAGACGCACTGACATTCTGCTACAACGTGGATGAACCTTGAAAACATGAGGCTGGATACATAAATAAATAATACATAAATAACAGACCCAGGAAGCCACATGTTGTAGGATTTCCATTTATGGGAAATGTCCGGAATATGCAAGTCCACAGAAACAGAAAGGGGATAAGTGGTTGCCTGGGACCGAGGGGACAGGGGATGAGAAGCCATTGCTTAGTGGGTTTGGTTTGACAGCCGGGCTTGCAGCTTGTGGCTTCTGGCAAAAGCCTCTCCTGCTCCTTGTAGCTGGAGGCTCAGAGAGCAGGGATGACCTTGCAGCTCTGAGCAGCTTTGCCAACTCCCCCAGGAAGTCCTCAGAACTCTCAAGTTCCCCTGCCTCCCCTACTGGACTCTTGGGTATCATCGTTGCCCAGAGAGAACTCAGCCACCCCGACTCCTGGTCATAGATGTGGAAACTGAGGTACCACTAGATGAAGTCATGCACACAGCTGGTAAGTGGCCGATCCAGTGTTGGAACCCAGGCAGGCTGTCTCCAGAGCCTGTATTGATAGCCATTATTAAATATATGTTTAAACGAATGAATGAGTGACATTTGAATGAGTCCTTGTGTGAATAGATAAACGTGTGTTTCAAAGGAAGAGAATAGCTTTTTAAAAAATGTATTGAGGAGAGAGAGAAAAGGACATAGGTTTGTTGTTTTGTTTATTTATGCATTCATTGGTTAATTCTTGTATGTGTCCTGATGGGGGATCAAACCCACAACCTTGGTGTACCAGGAAGACACTCTAACCGACTGAGCTACCAGGCCAGGGAAAGAAGACAGCTTTTGGAATCATGCAGACTGGGTTGAACACTCAATTCATCCGTGACTCACTGGGGGCCACTGAGCCGCTGACCTCGGTTGGCCCATCTGGAAGGAAGCTAACTGTCTACACACGACTTCCTCTTGGGATCATCAAACACGGTAACAAAGATGGGTGGGGATATCAGGTAGGCGAACTGTAGACACGATCAAAATTAGCCTTATTAATTAATTTTTTCTAAGGTATAATATTTTAAAACTTTAACTCTTTTTTTTTATTGATTTGAAAGAGAGAGGGAGAGAGAGAGAGAAACATAGATGAGAGAGAGAGAGAGAGAGAGAAACATCAATTGGCTGCCTCCTGCACACCCTCACTGGGGATTGAGCTCAAAACCCCGGGCATGTATCCAGACCAGGAATCAAACCAGAGACCTCTTAGTGCGTGGGACGACGATCAATCCACTGAGCCACACCAGCTGGGCGTCAGTTTATTTGTTTTCACACGTTCTCTGTCTTTGGAGCACACCCAAGCCATTTCCCAGCTTCTTCCCCCTAGGTGCGTTTTCCTTACCTCTGTCTCCTAAGCTCCAAGGGCCCTTCTTTTGCCTCTGTAACTTATTTCCTGAGCCCATTTCTTCTACGGCTCACTTATTCAACCTCTGTGACTTTCTAAATCCACCTTCTCTTATAGTCTGAGCCTTCACTCCGAATTCTTTGTTAACCAGAACTCAAGTACTGAGGTTGCTGAGCCGAGATCAGGTCTGACTCCCCCGGTCTAACACCTGGTGCTGTTTCGCCACCAACAGATGGTTCTGCACAGTAGTTAAGGGAAACAGACTTGGGGAGATGACATGACTTGCCCTAAGTGGTGAATGATATAATTTATTGTGACAAGTAAATTACACATCTCAATTGGGACTAGTCATATATCAGATGCTCAGGAGCTACAAGTGACAAGTGGCTACCATACTGAATAGCCCAGCTCTGGATAAAAGTTTCTTGAAGATCTGTATTTTACTCTTCCTGCTCTTTTACAAATAACAAACATCTCTGTAACTCTGAAAAAAATTATTTTTGCCTTTATTTTCAATTTTAATTGTAATTGTTCAGGTACAGTTAAGTGTCCATCAGTGGATAAAGATGTGGTACATTTACGCAATGGAATATTACTTGGTCATGAAAAAAGTGTGAAAACGTACTATTTGTGACAACAGGCATGGACCTAGAGGGTATTATGCTCAGTCAAATAAGTCAGACAGATAAAATTAATTTCTTTATTTAAAAAATGTGTAAAGCTGACTTAGATGGCAGAGTCTTTTTTTCTTAGATGTGAAGAAATATCAGCTACCACTTGATGCTACAACTTTCTCTTTTGTCTGTCTTTCCACCTCTCTCATTTGACTCTGCTCATTCACTCACTGAGTCACTCAACACACACCCTGAGATGCCTCCGTGCCTGACGTTTAGCTGGGTGATGCTGGGACCACAGAGTTCATCAGAAACAGCCCCACCACCCTATCTTCCCACCATCCTTCCCAGCAAAACTTCTCCGTGGAGATCTACTCCCTGCTTGCACCCTACAGCCACACTCTTTTTGGGGTTCTACAGACTTCCATGTCGAGCAACCCAGTGGTCGCCCATCTGTCCTTCTCTTACTCAACCCTTCTGCAGCATTCCATGAGCTGGCCGCTCCTCCCCCGGCTCTGGACGCCATGTGTTTCTGGTTTTCCTCCTACTTCGTTGGCTCTCCTTCCTGGCCTCCTGCATGAATAGGCCTTTCTTTCCTGCACTGGTGTTTGTACAAACAAGGGTGTTCCCAGGGCCCAGTCTAAGCCTACATAGACCTACAGTTTCACCTGTCACCTGCCACTGGGGCAGGTTGGTTCTCAGGCCTCTCCCCAGCTTCAGGCCTGTGCCTCCGACAGCTTCCTGAATGACCCAAGCCAAGCTCATCATCTGTCCCCATCGGCCTGTTCTCAGACCCCACTCTGTGTGGTGGAACCACCATCCACCCAGTCCCCTGGTTCAGACCCTCAGGAGTCCTATCATATCCAGGACTCACTGTCCTTTGTTTCTTCGGAGATATCTCGAGACTGTCTCTGAAATCTGTCTCCTGAGCTCCCAGAGTCCCGGTTTGCTTTGCGTCCAAAGAGCCTGAACCGGGTCCCCTGCCCCCTCGACCCCCTGAAAGGGACAGGGAGAGAATAATGGGATAGTAGGTAACTAGTCATAGTTATAAA